GTTATGAAAATATCTAAAGAGGATCAACTTCACTTCACGATCATCATCAAATATAGGCTGACCTGATGGAAATGGTGCGGGAAAGCATTTGGCCTCATGCACTTGTCCATTAACATCTTGATTGCTAATAGCATTCGCAAGGAGTATTAACACATAAATCACCTCTTCTAAATACGGATCAAGAATTTCATGTCCCATAATACTTGGCTGAAGAAAACTGTCTAATGCAATGGCACGTAACGATCATATCCTCATCAATGTTATTTCTTTTATTGATGCATTTCTTCTGGGGCATTATTTTCGTGTTCATCTATCTCATTTTCCTCGAAACAACGTATTGTCCCAATCACTGTATATTCCAATGGCATTGTATCACTTGCCTTGTTATCTTTAAGGTAAAATAAGGAATCCTTAACATTTTTTGTTTCGTATTCACAAATTGATACCTATATGGCGCGCCATGAGTGCCATGCACTTATTTATATAATTTACTTCGCCATGTTGACATATAGTGGAGAGTAAGGTTACTTAATCTCATAAATAATCTCGTCAAGTCGACTTTCCGAAGTCGAGATGACGACTTGTCGAGATGAATCATCTTGCCATGTCGAATTAACGAATTCTAGATGACGACTTGCCGGGATAAATCATCACGCCAAGTCGACTTAACGAATTCTAAATGACGACTTGTCGAGATGAATCATCTCGGTAATTCGACTTCCTCAATTGAGATGTCAGCTTGTCCTGATAAATCATGTTGCCAAGTCAACTTCCCGAATTTGACATGACAACTTGTGAAGAAGTGATAACTTGCCAGTTGACTTACGAAAATCAAGATGACGACTTGCCGAGATAAATTATATTTTTGAGTTTTACCTCGAAAAGTAAATTTGCTTTTCAATTGCTCCTTTCCAGGCAATAAAAAAATATTCACTTTTGAACGAGACATTGCTCTCAATATCACTGGCACGTTATTCTGATGTCATCAAGTATGAAATTACAAGCGATTTTAGATCCCAAATCGACCTAAATCATTAAGGCTGACATAATCCCTCGCGAAGAATGAAATACATTTTCTTAAACATTTAATGTATGAGTTTTTAACTGGTTAATGAAAATTATTTTATTTTTGGACAAAATATATAGAACACCCTAAAATATGGTAATATGTTTACTTGGTACACTGTCTTAGAGTTTGTGATACCTTTTTTTTTCAAGAAATGAAGACCAGAAGAGTAGAAGGCTTTAAAAACAAGAATAACATTTTTTTTTTGTATCCTTCATTTCTCACCACGAAGTGCAACTATCACGATGGCCTTTCACAGCCTATTACCGGCTTACTCTACAAGGTGATATTTTATCACATATGCCTGGCAGTTGAGCAGAAGACAAGTTTTCCCTTTGGTATCTTGTTGTCAGATTTTCTCTTTTTTTCAAATGCCGAAAATTTGGCCGAAGGGACGTGGTGCAAACTGCCGTTTTTGAAAAAATAAAAATAAGTTGTTATTACTGATGAGGCCACCCTGCTTAAAGTTTGTGTATACGTGCCTGTTGGGTGTGGCAACTAGAAAAACAGTTTTTCAAATTGAATGCAACAGTTTTTAGCCAATCGGCCCAAGACAAGTAATTAATTAATTGATTTCAACTTTGGAATTAAGAGCGAGACGCTTTTGATTCGTTCTGAATAATGTGAGCAATTTCTGAACTGGAGCACGTCATTCCAACGACTTTTTTTTCCCGAAACTGTAAAAAGGCTTTCAAATACACAACAACTTTATTTACTGCAGGACATTATATTCTTTTACATTTCATTCGCGAATGAAAAATCGAGATTTTGAAAAAGCACGTGTATACCAACTTTAACCTTTCAAATTCCAAAAACTATACAATCACACGCTGCATGTTCGTCAAGCTTTCTAATACAGCTTCTCCATAAATGATAACTGCCAAACGCTTTGAATCAAAGCAACGATGCCTTTCCATTGAAAACAACTCAAATGACATCATCAATCATCGTCCTTTGCGCCGCTTCATGTGTAGAAAGGAAATTGACGAGCAGACGTTTTGCATATTTCATGAACATCAACAAAAGAGACACAACCATTAGTTGCTCTGCGCGCCGCATTTTGATACATTTTTTAGTCTCGGTGTCAAGAATAATTTTCTAGCAATGCTATTTAATTATTAAGATATATCAAGTTCGTTTGCGAAAATAATTTACACGTTTTAAAATGTACCACTAACGCATAAACATTCAATATTCCTGTTTACATGTAGACCTACTTCTACGTGTCTGATTGTAGTTTGATTGTAAACCACGGTTGTCCCTGTTTCGATTTTAAGTTCAAATTGGCAGTTTAAATCCAGGTTTGTAACAGTTACGAAATTGTTGCATAATGTTATTTTACAAGGGTCAACTTTTTCTCCATGTCCCTTTTTTTCGGGGCGGGTTGAGCCCCCTTTCAAACAGCTGTGTAGCCAGGGTTCTCAACATAAAGGGAGAATGAGGCTGATGCTACAGTGCGGGAGTGGGAGTTTACTTTCTGTTGCAAGTATGCTGACACATTTACAGTTTGGGGGCGACTCGTAGGCAAGGATCCTACCCCCATCCCCCCCCCCCCCCCCCGCTAAGCCGCTGAACTTACACAGGGATTGCTATGGGATTGGCTTTTGGTAATTTTAACCGTAATATCACGTGAGGTGAGCGCATTATTTTAGATTCAAGCCAAAGCTTTGAAATATCCGTGGGAGAAAGTGCCACCATTCAACACTGAATCAGGCTTAAAATTCAAAAAAACTATGCTCAATAAATTAAGTCACGCCACTTGTTGCAATTGCCAAGTTGGTTTTGACGTTAAGCCGTTGGCAATTACAGAAAAGTCATTATGCCTGAAAATATTATATGAGCAACAATTTGAGCTGTGTTATCATGCATAATGTAGTAACTGCGGGAATCTACACAAAGAAACAAACCAATTATCCGTTTGCTTGTGGCCTCGTCTTCAGTCTCACAATATGTTATGTATTTGTCGGCACCGAATGAAATTATTCTCATCCATAATGATAACTGCGTAGACAATTTCCTATTACCAGGCTTTCATAGATAAAGCAAAGGAATCCGACAACCAAATCGCCTGTTGGTTTTTGAAAATATAATGCAAGCATTAAAGAATATATAGTGAAACTTAATGTTGACCTTTTGGGGGATATTGGGGGCGCTGTTTCTATTAAACGAACTCTCAAGTCCACACGGTCTTCCGTTTCAAAGATAGCAAAAACGTGCTTGCTTGGTTCAGTTTCTTTGACAAAAGGGTGCATTTTGAGATACACCCTGTTTTGTGCCAGATGTGACCTGGGCCCAATTTCACGGCTTAACAGTTGGCAATAAAGTTGTGCTTACCATAGCAGAAAAAAAAATGCTAACCTTGAACATGAGTTCACGGCATGGACGTGCTAGCGGTGGTGCGTGCTTGGAGATTTATATTGTTACGTCACTAAGTCAAGCATTTTTTTTCCTCCGAAGTAAGCGTGCTTTTTGTTGCGCTCATGCTAACGGTCTCTATGAATTAGACGAAGGCTCTGTCAGCAGGAAATCGTGTGCTTAGCAGCGCCGTGAAATTGGGCCCAGATATGACAAGGCAAAACGGCGTAGCTATAAAAGATACACCTTTTTGCCTCGTTATTAGGCAGTGTGTTATACGCATCGTAGAAATGCAGTAATAGTACATTTGGATATGCTTTCTCAAGGAACACCCTTTTACCAAATAATCCGTTTAATTATGTTTGTGATACTTCATGGTAAAAAATGTTCAACTGTTTTCCATTGCTTCTATTTAAAACACAGCAAAGACAAGAGGCTGAAATTTCCACTGTATAATCACAACATTATTCACAATCTGTGGTAGAAAATAGGTTTAATTAATGGTAAAATAGAAACGTAGAAGACCCTGAACTTTAAAACAGATTTTTCTCGAAATGCGTTTTTTTCATTTGAAAGAAAATCACAATCACACGACACAACAACGTATAAATTATTATTATAATGGCTTGCGTTTTGGAGATATGCCAATTTAAATGGCAAAATACAATGAAAACATTCTGTCAATTATAGTGTAAAAATAGGGCATAATTTATTAACACCTCTAAAATTTTCAGACCTGTCTAAAATATTTAATATCACAGGATCCTGATGAAATAAACACTATTTTCGTTTTGGAATTAACTTTGTATCTTTCATTGCAAAAAGGCTATGATTTTTTTTTCGGAACACCGCACGATTGTACGAACCAAGTCCACTTCGCGATGCGACCACACAACTCCGTCGCCGTATAGACACGGGCAAACTACAGTTCCATTCACGCTTCACACAACGCGGCATGAGCTGGGATGACTCAAATCCAGGTCAATTATTTCCTGCCTTCAAGTTCAACATCATTTCGTGTTTGACTCTTTTTTTTTTTTTTTTTTTTTTTTCTCTTCAGATGTTTAAAATGAAAAAGGACCATCAAGTCATGGGATCGGGCTGGATATCATCTGAATTGCTGACAGCACTGATTGCTATCGGTACGTCGTTATTAACCAATATTCTATTTGTGACCGGCCAGACTTAAATTTCTGTAATCATGCTGCCAGTTCCCGTCTGTAAAATATTTCTTTGTCGATGTCTAATATTTTTAGCATAAACAGCGATGCGAAAGTTGTCGAAGCATTGCGAGCGCCCTCTTGTGTTTTCCGTTGAATAGAGCATACCGAGTTGCGTAACAATTTGCATATGACATGCAGTGCGAAAAAGCCTTTTATTCCGTGCAGTGTTTCAAAAGCATAGGGCTTCGGACGCACATTCCGTGAATTTTTCGCTAGTTTTCTTGGAGAGTAAGCAAGCATGGGTAGGTCACTTGACTGCTTGTCGTTGCTGCTGCCAGCCACACCTTATTGCGAGCCAGCTTGTCTATATTTTGCTGTGTTTCTCACGTGGTTTTGCCATGGTTAGCACGCTGCCTGTGCATACACATATCGTGTACATGCATATCGTGTAGTTGCCCAAACATCCCGAGGCATAGGTACACGGGCCGCAACTGCTCCGGTAAGTGTTTCAACTTCGTAATTTTTGATGTTATCTTAAATAACACTTTACGACACATTTTTATGCCATAAAATAAATATCCCAGGTTGAAAGCCAAGTCTGTATGAAGATTGTTGTGCATAATATGACTTGAATTTTCGATACTGAACCTCCTGGTAATATTGACTGTACACTTGCACATACTTCGAAATAAGTAATTGGAGATTTAGAGATTTGGAGATTAATGTGTTGTAAAATTATTGCATAGCAAGTGCTTATGGAGATTATTTCTCCTTGATTAAATTGTTATGCCTTTAATATTTTTATGCCTCTTTAAGAAATGTACTTGTAAATTCGCAGCAAAAACATGTCTATGGAACAAATCAATGGAAATTGAGGTTTATAGAACCAGCAAAGCAATTTGTCATGATAAAAGATAACCAAGGATAAGGAGAGATGGTTATTTCAAATAATTAAATAATTGAATATTGGATTCATAGTCATTGTATATTTGTAAATAAATTAATTTCTATTCTTCTGTTTTCTGTTATTACAGACTGCTGAAGAATGAATGTCGTTTTTTTGTAATACAATTTTGATCAATTTATAGTGGAATATATACCCAGTGTCACTTTCAAATTTCTGCGTAACCTTTCCAGCTCGGTTACATATTTATATGGGTCTGTGGTATTTATTTGATTAATGAGTGGAGTGGTGTTGCTCCGTGGTCCGGAGCATCAAACTCAAATTATGTGGGAAATTGTTCAGGTTGTGGGTTCGAGTCCAGCCTGGGCTTGCGATGCATGTGTCCTTGGGCAAGACACTTTTCCTGACACAGGAATAAATAGTTAACTGCGAGGACAGAAGTGGTTCATGTTATTGATTTTGGCTGCTTTACACCTAAATGGCAGCATCGAGGTGTATACACCCAAAGGGCTGGAGCTGAGATAGTTGTTTTATGATCCCAACGAGAAGGGGTAATATTGATGTTAAGTGCTTTGAGAGGGAAAAAAAAGAGCAGTACTTTTTCACGACGTCGTGAAGTGTGAATTTAAGGCCTGAAAGGTTGTAAAGAACCCATCATATTTTAAGGTATTTTGCTTGATTCATCATTTGGCACAGGCTGGAGTTTTCGGAAAAGCATTTTTGTTTCATCTTGCAATTTCGGTGGAAATGTATATGATTATGTTGGATATTAAAACTGCTTTAAAATCAAAGTTGTTTCCAGACTGTGCATCATAAAACATTCAGTTCTAATGTGTTTGCATGTGTTTCATGCCGATCTGGGATATGTCCATGTTATCATTATATCTTGACTACTGGGCCATCCAGTAACGTACATCCAACGTACGTCGTATACTACCACATGGTGAACATGTACAATGTCGTTAAAGCTACAGTCCATCATTTGTAATTGGTGCATTTTGTTCGTTTGAAGCAACAAGAGAGTTCAAAATCTAATGAAGGATACTGAGCAACTAACCTGATGAAGTTTCAGCTAAGCTTCAGCTGTACATTCCGAGAAAAAAACAGCATTCTAAGATCTCAATTTCAAATCAAAAGTTACTAAATCATGTTTTGAATTGTTTTGAATTGCAGCTATACGCGACGTCGCGCACTGATCCGACGAATTATAACAACCGCGCGCGCGTGTGCGTCGTTCCAATACTAAGCGCGCTGCGCTGAATAACAAAACGAACTACTAATTTAAATTGTCCTACGGTGCCTCTTAAGAATCACCTTTGGAAATGCCTTCTTTCGTTGATTGCTTCAAAATGACAACTTCCCAGGAAGAATAATTTCACAGGGAGTTTAGTTCCCTTACTATCTTTCAACCAAGGTTGTTTTTCAGCAATAATTATGCCAGATACTTTTTGGATGGCTGCAAATGATGGACTATAGCTTTAAGGTGGTGGTTCCTCAGTTTGGTCTATATTTGTCTGCTCATTAGATGTCGCATCACATTAACTTTTCCAGCAGCAGGCTTAGAAATATTGTTGCTAGGAGGCTCCCCTGTGATGCCTGGGACTGCCGGTTGCGTAGCCAGAAATCTTGTATGTGATTATTTTGAAACCTTGTATGTGAAAGCGGCAGCTCAGGAATGCTGCCGCTTTCAGGGAATTTGTGAAAATAGTAAAAATACCAAACAAACATCGATGGAAAAAGAGAATTTCTGCAAATTAATTCACAGAACGGGATCTTCATTTTCTGTGTATGTATTTTCCATTGAAATGACGAGATTGCAAAACTCGAACCTGTTGAGAAACATCGCAGCGTGTTTCTGCAGTAGTGCAGAATTTTCGGCCACGTGGGATGGGCCGTTCACAGTGAAGCAATGCACACTGTCACTGACACTGCGCCGTGTGTACGGCGCGATGTACGGCCGACCAGACTGAATGTTTGCGGCGCTAGCGGCCGTGATGTACGTTAGGCATAATTGTGGAATGACCCACCTCAAATATATTTTTAATTAGGTGAGGCAAGTTTTAATCACTTTTGATGGTCAGTCTTGATAATTTTTGTGGTGCAAATGAGAATAATCCAGGCACAAAACGATTCCTTGCTTTACTACAACAAATATAGAACTGGTGAAATAATTTGTCCAACAATACTACCGACGTTATTTTGAAAGGCATGTTATCGGAAGCAGAAGTGATTTAAGGTTACAATTTTGATTTTTTTTTTACAAAAATATTAAAAGATCTTCTCTGAAATGCTCTAAAATGCACCAGAAGCTTCTAAAGGGCCATTCAGAATTTTCAATGTTTTAACATTTCGATCTTTTTTCTAAATTGTGGGTGGGTGGGTCAAGCTAAATAATTGAAAATCGAAATTCACTTTCCATGGAAAAAGATAAAAAAAGAAAAGAAAGATAGATCTTTTGAACTGCCTGAACTACGCGCAAGCGTTCCGATATCGCGATGCGTGTTTCTTTTCCAACTTCGTCCCATGTATGTACTGTACATGTACGTCATGTACGTGTAAACCCACTGTGGCATGAGAGGGTGGTGGTTTTTCAGTAGACTTGGACGCCGGGCGTTTGTAGCGGTTAGGCCGTGCAGAGGCAGCAGGGTACCAGGTGTACTAGATCGGCTCTATAACACGCCGCGGGCGTCGATTACCAATCGCTATAAAAACTGGACTATTCAACCACTGGACTCCAAGACTACGAGGATCGCAGCCTGTGATGTGATGTCTGCCCAAACCTGATGTTTTTCTTTCGCTCGTACCCCCAGCCCTGCAAACAGGGGGGGGGGGGTAAAAAGTTTTTTTTCAGTTACAGGGAAGGTTAAGTCGGACGGTATTTTAGATGGCCCAATAATAAAGGCTCAAAAGAATGCAAACAAATGTGAAGTTTTATTAACTTCTTTGTTGGGTAGTTGATAATGTTACTGTTAGGGCTATTGGTATACCTGCTCATGCTTTTCAATATCCACACCGAAACTTGGTTTTAAATTTGGTTATGAGACATCCAACGAAAAAAAAAACCAACTACCGATTCACGATTGTTACAATTGTATATAAATGTAGCCAGCCTCGCTGATCTGAAAGTAGATAACCAGTGGCCAGCTGTGCGTGACATAGTTTAGCAGTGCGTCTTTCCTGAGATCAACCACGTGGTGGCCCGGGGACATTATTTAGTCCATGGGTTGGTTGGTGGGTCCAGGTGTGATCGTTTATTCAGGAATATTTCCTTCACTCACTCCATCAGACGTCACTGTTGCACATTTCCCATTAAATACACAAAACTATCAAACATGTACATGTAACTCTAATTTCCGAGACGTCTTCTCGATTTGTTTAGCATTTTAACAAGTTAAATCACTATCCATCTTCAACTATACATCGCCTGCAAGAGATGAGAAAACAACAAACTTTTTTTTTTATTGCAACATTTCCAAAGTCTAAATTTCAGTGTGGCCGATGTTTCTTCGGATATTATTTGAGCAGTTGTCACTATCCACCGTCGTCACCGCACAGGTCTATTGTCTACCATGCTGTGGGCACCCAGCGTGACCATTTCATTGTGCTGTTGTTAGGCAATTTCGGGTGTGATCCCGCGGTCGGAACGCCCGCGAACGCAGGCGCCCGGCGGGATTAGGAACAATAGGCCCGTTCCTCCCGTGTTCTCGCGTCGGAAAGGGAAAAAATCCTTTTGATCTCCTCCCTAAAGTGTTTGACGTGTACGTCTGGATTTACAGAATGGTCCTGCTATGAAAAGTGGTTCAACTTTTATCTTGTATGGACTCCAACATTTGACTTTTATCTTCCCTAACAAATGTGCAGTACATGTAACCATTCTGCCGAGACAGAGGGCGCTCATCATGAACGGACGTATGTAGTGCCAGCTCCGTGAGAATCAGAGCAAAACCTCGATTTTTCTCCATCTCTTCATATTGTTTATCCGTTTTATGTACGCTTCCACAAACATCCTGCTAATATACTCTCTCTTGCTGAGTTTTTGATATCATCATGCCTCCAAGAAAGGAGAAAAAAGGATCTGTTTCAGCTGAACTATCAAGCTCCAGTGTTCCCGCGCCAAGTCAGTCAGGTGACCAGTCGCCCACCGCCAGTTCCCCAAGCCCTTCGGCCAGTGAGATCGCTGGTCTGCGGCAGGACATCATGGTCCTGGCAGCTGATCTTCATGGTAAGCTTGACAAAGTTATCAAGAATCAACAAGATCTCCTTACCAGAATGGAGAAAATGGAGGCCAATCATGAAGAGATGGAGAAATCCCTTGACTTTACATCACGATCCATCGAAGATATTCAAAAGAAAAATGTTTCGATGTCCGACGATCTATCCAAGATGGCGTCTCAAATGAAAGAAGCCCAAACAAAGATCGTCCAGCTTGAAGAGGCTAATCTGCACCTCGAACGCTACTCCCGAGGGTTCAACTTACGATTTGGGGGTATACCAGAAACTGTGAACGAGAATCCGTCATACCCCCTTCAGAAGGTGAAGGAGATCCTATCTACCAAATTCAACATGGCGGACATTAAGGTAGAATACGAACATCGGTCTGGTCGCGCACCCAAACTACTTTCTGAAATGTCGCAGAAACCTCGCCATATCCTGGTCAAGTTCCTGTACCGACCTGAACGTCTGGCGATTTTGAAGCATGCCAAGTCTTCTCTAAGCACCACTGGTATGTTTGTACTTCAGGACTTGCCTGCCGCCGATCTTGTGAAGAAGAGATCCTTGAGAGAGCTCATGAAGAACGCATATGACTCTGGACACAAAGTCGTATTCCGAAACGGCGATCTCTTCATTGATGGACAGAAGCACAACGCGTCTTTTAAGTTATAGACAAAATCGTCCTTCATGGACAGCTCGGACACCAGATGTAAAGTAATTACAATTAACTTATTGTGATTCTCTTGATTTGCATTGCCTTTTTTTCATGTCAAAGTTAACTTGTTTATCTGTGTTTTCATTGTACATAATGTCTCACTGTAGTGTTTGTGTGTTTACAATCGTCATGGATACGTGTACCACTGACTTTAAACGTCTCACAGCTGTAGAAAGGCATTCTTTTGATGAGGTCTGTTTAGCACTCTCAATCGACCCCCCCCCCCCCTCCTGTGTATGGCTAGTTGTAGATTATGTAACCAACACAATTCGTGTTTCCAACATGCACTGCCGTTTAATCATTTGGGTGACGATCAAGATTTCTTACTAGCTCTCCTGGAATTGAAAACTGATCACAGAATTGATACTCAGAGACTCTCAGATATGCACTTCAATCCGCTCATTTTCAACAACCAATTTGGTGGCAACTCTGATATTGATCCTGATGCAAACTTTTTCTCTGACATACACAATCACCCATCTGACTACTTATTCTGTGATCAGTTTAATGCAATGTATGACAAAGATGTTAAACAAAGCAAGTTCTCTACCTTTCATTTGAATCTAGAAGCTTTAACAAAAACTTCGATGCCATTGGTGACTATCTTAGTCTTCTGAACATTGACTTTTCAGTTCTTGGTTTTACCGAAACTTGGCTCCACAAAGATAGTCCACCATACGAGGTTACAGTTTTCTTGGTAAAAATAGAGCTGACAAAAGAGGTGGAGGAGTTGCTTTGTATGTTCATAATTCGCTTAATTTCAAAACGAGGGGTGACTTATCTATAAACAGTGATATCTGTGAGTCACTTTTTATCGAAATATCTTCTCCAGGTCACAAAAATATCATTGCAGGGGTGTTATACAAGCCACCTTCAGTCAACCAAGCTGATTTCATTGAATGTTTTGATGGCCTTGTACATTCAATTAATCAGGAAGACAAACTCACCTTTTTAATGGGCGATTTTAACATAGATCTTCTGCAATATGAATCGCATCAGGCCACTCATGATTTTGTGAACAGCTTGTTCAGCAACTACCAAATTCCATTAATAAACAAACCTACCCGGATCACAGAAACCACTGCTACTCTTATTGATAACATCTTCTCCAACAATATTGATTGCAATATTTCCAGTGGAATCTTGTTTGCTGACATTACTGATCATTTGCCAGTGTTCCAAATATCTACCTTCAATACTCACCAAACTCCAGCGAGATCTAAACAGTATGTGAGAAGGGAGATCAATACTTGTAATATTGCCTCTTTTTCTAATGAACTGAATTCAACATTTTATTCGATGGACAGTGCGGGTTTAGAAGCAACCACTCTACTGATATGGCACTTATTGACATGGTCAATAAAATCAGTAAAGGTTTTGAGACTAATTCCAGTTCTGTAGGCATCTTTTTAGACCTCTCCAAAGCCTTTGACACGATAAATCATGACATCCCAAGGGGCACTCCGCTAGACTGGTTTACTAGCTATCTCTGCAACAGAGCTCAGTATACCAGAATTGGTTGTTCTAACTCTGCTACCGACACTTTTACTTGTGGAGTACCCCAAGGATCACTTCTAGGGCCGTTGTTGTTTTCTTTGTACATAAATGGTATTTGTTATTCATCTAAGTTTCTTTCGTTTATTTTGTTTGCCGATGACACCAATGTTTTTTATTCTGACGACAATGCTACTCTTGCTTCCATCATTAATTTCATCAACATTGAAATGGGTAATGTTGCCACCTGGCTCCAAGCCAATAGACTCTCTCTTAACTTGGACAAATGTAACTACATGATTTTTCATAAAAAGTCAAATATTTCTCCCCCCCCTGGTTGCCAAGTTGAGATTAATGGAGTTCCTATTTAGCAGGTGTCTCATACCAAATTTCTTGGTGTTCATGTTGATAGTAGTCTTACCTGGAAGTTTCACATAAAAGAGATTGAAAACAAATTTTCTAAAAGTATTGGTGTCATCGGCAGGCTTAAACATATTCTCCCATGTAATATTTTACGCACTCTGTATTGTTCATTGATTCTACCACATTTAACTTACTGTAACATTGTTTGGGCAAATAACTTTCATTCTAGAATTGACAAATTAGTGAAATTGCAAAAAAAAGCTGTCCGTATTATCTCCCAGGCTCAATTTAGAGATCACACCACGCCGTTATTTCGCAAATTTAATCTTCTCACTCTTGCCAATATCAATTGCCTCCAACAAAATATTTTCATGTTCAAATTCTTCAATAATGTACTTCCTCCAACTCTGCATAATCTTTTTCAGTTAAACAGATCTGTTCACAGTCATAATACTCGGTCTTCTTCTAAAGTTCACATTCCACTGGTTAAAACCACTCTCTCTCAACTTTTTATTACGTTCTCAGGCCCTAAAAACTGGAATAGTCTTCCCTTACCACTTTCTGAATGTAAATCACTCGCTCTTTTCAAACACAAACTGAAGTCTTTGTTAATCTACCAGTCACCTCAGTAAGCCCCACTTACTTCACTTTTCTGATCTTGGTTTATTATTGTTTTCTTATTGAATCATATCTTTTCTTATCTTAGTCGTCGTACACGTATACACACTGTTTGTGTTTTTGTTATAGGTGTTGTTATGTTTATTCGTTTATTGTGAAGCTGTTACTTTGTTTTGTTTTTTGTAAACAGGCTGTTCCTTGACAAGCCCCGCTTTTTTGGAACGTGCCTCCACATTTGTCTATATTTATTGTATTTTTCTTTATGATCATGTGGAAATGAATGTTACTTTGAATTGAATTGAAAGTATTTCATAGGGTCCAAATTCTATACTACATTGGCCAATTCTTGTGATGAATTGGCATTCGTATACGTGCAATTGCCAGTAGGTTTCTTGTCTTTGACTAGTATTTAATTTAACGTTTCTGCGATATAACTGAAAACAAACTCGGCATGGCAAGAACTTGGATACGCCTTGCTCCATAGTCCCCTCACACTTCTTGCCCTATATGCAGTTTCAAACTATTTTCACTCGTTTGGTTGTTTCTTTATTTTTCTCACTGAATAATGCAGTCGTCAGTTCGGTCTCAGCCCGAATCTGTACTCTGATGATTGACCTAGACTCACGCGGTTGCGGCCAGCGCATGGGGAGATTTGTCCTGCCACCAGGCGATCCTCTCACCTGTACAGGGGTCAGACTGGGCGGTCATTACCACCGCTACGCGCCTGAGATGCAGGGACAGGATCCACCGTTGTATATGGACATGCTGCCGGAGGTGACTGCTGAGGTCATCGGCCGTTGGTTCAACTGCACTGAGAGCAAACTGGAGGAGTCAACGCTCGGAGTCATGACACCAGTTTTCAGCACCACCCCTGAGCCGTCGATGCCGCCTGCAGATTGTCAAGAGATCTTGGATGCTGGTCAGAACACAAGCGGAGTATATACCATCCGGCACAAACGCCAGAATATGCAGGTCTACTGCCGCATGGAGTCGGGGAAAGGATACATAGTGAGTAAAGTTACTTATTTTCTCAGAATCATTCTGTATTTTACAATTATAACATGGTTGAAAGATATTTTGGCAAATTAGCTCCGAAATGTATTTGACATTGACAAAAAAAGAATACTTCAGGCAATTGTGTTTTCAACTTGTTGCACTGAGTACTGTTGTTGGTACTAAGGAAATGCAATCTAAAAGAACGTCCGTGCATACGCGTACAGTTGATAACTGAACCAGTGACGATTATTAACAAACATGCGCTTAAGCTAACGGGAAGTTGGAAGTTGCACCATATACAAACTAAATATATTTCATTATGATCCTGTAATCATCAATTTGTTTATTGTCATTAATAATAAAAATGCGATTAAAGCTACTTAACTTCCAGCCTTATATTCTACCCCAAATAAAATGAAAGGTTTAGCTACGAACAGACTAATTAATGGTTAATGGATTTTTTAGTTAATGTCTGAAATGTCCAGTGTTGTTCGTGGGTGTGCCTGTGTTTTTTAAGTTTGTTTGCCAACTCCAAAAAAAATGACTTCAACTTGTGTTCTGAAACGCAGTTCCACCAATTAAGAAAAAGTCCTTGATTTTGCTTAGAACAGCATAATTGATTCCTTAATGTTAAACCCGAACAAGGATAAAGCGATGATGGTAAACGTGTCCCAGTTTTACCGTCACTCATATCGTTTCTGACAGGTGTTTCAGAGACGCCAAGACGGCTCGGTGAGCTTCAACCGAACCTGGCAGGAGTACGCCGAGGGATTCGGGAATCTGACCGGAGAGTTTTGGCTGGGCAACCAGAAGCTGCATAGTCTGACTCGTAACTTGGAGTTGGAGCTGGTCATCACCCTGAATGCATTCGATGGGGATGAAGCCCGTGTTCGTTATGACATTTTCAACGTATACACTTCTCAGGGCAAATACGGGCTTTATTTCGATGGCTTCAGTGAGGAGAGTGGAGATGCAGGTATACAGAAACCCCTTGTTTTCATAAGCTTCACTTTGAGACTGCTCCTATCTAACATAGTATGTATTGCACTGTTGTTTATAATTGTATACGATATAATTCTGGTACAACTGCGCTGCTGTCATCTAATCACACAAAAAAACCACGATAAAACCATATTATACAGACTGTTGAATTGCAGGCAATAATCTGTTTCTGTGTCTCCCAAATGGATGTTTCATTCGGCCGTTTGTCTATATACATGTACTGATATAACACACGAATTACGAATGTTCAAAATCAGTAGCGTATAACAAAAAAAATTCAGGGATGTTTACCGCAATTTTTTTTCAAAACGTCCAGCCGATAGAAACGCATAAAGCGGACAGGAAGCAGGGTTAAAACTGTTGTTGAATAAATTGTTTGGTGCCAAGGCAGCAATTACATCATGAACACTATAGATCCAAGTTGTTTGTGTAGACTGAATTCACCGTGTAATAAAGCCTGTTAACAATGTTGTTTTACTCTGTATAAGTAGTTATACTAGTTTTACAATATATTGTATTAATCTTATAATATTTGCTATTCCAATGATTTTCAATTATTATCTGTGAGTCATTGCTTCGTCGCCGTAGTGAACCAGGTTTGCTATACAGCTAAGAGATGAGCTACGGTGACGTCGCATTTAATTATTACTTTTACCGATAACCCAGGTGGTTCCTTTTAAATATTCTTTGTTACTTATAAATAAATAAATACAAGCCTTACTTAATTTTCACTGGCAAAAATACTGCCCAGGTTATCTAATTATTTAAAGAGAAAAGCTAGTCTAATTTTATTTCCCTTTGGCAAAGTTAGCCACAGAAATTTTATCTTTTTTGGCAATGTAAGCCACAGAAATTTTATCTTTAAGGCAAAGTTAGCAACATAAATTTTCAATTTATTATTCAATTAACTAATTTGGCATCCACTAAAATTCCATTGTATTGTACAGTATTGTATTGTGTTTGTAATGTATTGTATTTGTATACATGTTTGAAGTCATTTTTTGTTGTATGCAGGGCCCCAATGGAAACCAGTTTCGAACTGTTTGGGCATACCTTGGCTAAAAAAATGTAATAAATAAATAAACAAACAAATAAACAGATTAAGGCGACCATGCAAAAAACCAAGGCCACCATGCCTAACAAAAAAAAATGAAAAGAAAGGAATCCATTCAAATGTCATTTTAATAAGTAGTCCCTTTATGACATGTCCATGCAGCATTCGTTATCCATTAATGTACTTATACAAGGTCTGACGATCTTTCCTTTTTTATGCACACAGGGGATTCACTCGCGATACATCGTTTCGACTACTTCTCAACTCTAGATAAAGACCATGACGACACCTTCGGGGAAAACTGCGCTGAGAAATTTCACGGAGGCTGGTGGTTCGAACGCTGCGGTAGCTATATCAGCTTGTTCTTCAAGAGCAACCTGAACGGCTTGTACTACAAAAACGCAGCAGTCGATGATTACATGGGGATACAGTGGGTCACCTGGAAGGGTAAAGCAGTCTCTCTTAAAGGGTGTGAAATGATGACACGACCCAAATGGTAAGCGTTACCGGTAATAGAAAGGACCCATAATGAGACAAGAGTGCAACGAGGGGGATGTTACGGGGCCCAAAACTAAGTTCGGAATATTTTGGATAAAGAACATTGATTTCGCTCTAGGCCTATATAATGTTTTGGGGCAACTTAGTAGGAAAGATGGTTTGAAAACAAATATCCCACGTTTAAGAAACATTACCAGTAACAGCAAGTTCACTAACAAAATAAAAAAAAAACCAATGGTCTGTTCGTGCCATTTTTGAGTTTCACCCCCCCCTAAAAAAGGCTTTACAAATATCAAATTACATGAAACTAATTAAGTTTTCGCACGACATAGACTTGTCCATGCCCCTCTTTTAAAATCGATAATGTCTGGACCAGGTACCATTGTACTCGCAATCGAAAGTTTTTATCGTAACATTGAACCATGTAAACGTTAACATTTGTCAGGCAAAAAAAAACAATGATTTTGTTGGCGAGCACATTTAATCTGAATGGGAAACCAACATTTCAATCGATACGGCACTGGTACGGTTTTCTGAGGTTACAGGCTCACGTCCACCTTTTCTCTGTTAAGCTGTACTCTGATCGAGAAGTGAACGCAGGTAAGCAGTGTTGTAATACTCGCACTCGGTACTCGTACTCGTACTCGTGTACTTTTTTTGGAGTACTCATACTCGTACTCCAATGTCAAAGTACTCGTACTCGAAATAACGGTACTTGTACTCGGGCAGCAAAGTACTCGTACTTGACATGTCGAAATTGTACTCGATTATTAAAATACTAGTACTCAAATAGCAGTACTCGGGGGATGATATAGCTTAATTCAACTACCACGAGGACCTTATTTTATAGATGCTTTCAGTTTGAAATGGTTGATTGGCTTGTGGAGAAATCGAGATTTCCTGATTTGCCTCTGTGCAAGTACAGTCCGGATAAACACATTTAACAGCTAGCCATGAGTGGGTCTATACATCGGTCTGACTGGGCCTGGGCCAATTACGCACAATGAACCATTTGCCGTATGGCCGTATTCGGAAATGCAAGTACTCGTACTCGTACTCGGAAGTACAACTACTCGTTCTCGGAGACCCATTCTTGTACTCGGAGGTACTTGTACTCGTACTCGGCAACCTAAGTACTCGGCAGTACTCGGTACTCGGAAAAAAATACTGGACTACAACACTGAGGTTAAGTCAGTTAACCACATGGGTTAACCATTCGCCACGGGTTAACCATCGAACCATTGTTTCTAAATTCTCTCTACCAAATCTCTCAAATATCGATATTCAAAAAATGACATATTTACTGATTGTATTCGTAACACGGTACAAGTCACGAGGCGTATTGGCATCGGGAATTGGGCCCCGGGGCATCGTCGGCAATGCAAGACCATCCCCAACAAGAGTCGATTCTCATCCGATACCTGCAGATTGGCAATCTTATTACATACTTAATTATTTGTGTGCGTATTTTATTTATTGCAGTGCGTATTTTTGAAACGGTTATGTGCGAAATATTAATAACTCTTGTTTTCATTATACTCAAACTCCAAAAAAGTAGACAGACACCAAAGTTGTGTGTATGTGCTGCAGCTTCAAATTTATTTTAAGAAAATCCACCGGAATACCAAAACGTTGGGCAAACCGGAACATTAGGCGGTACTCCTGACCACCGTAAATCATCAATGAATAATGATATCTACAGGCTACATGTACATGTGTTCCGATAGTGATACCAATACAAGATTACCGGAATACCAAAAAAGGTAGGGCGAACCGGAAACATAGAGGTTACACCCAAACTCACAAAGGACTCAATGATAACAGTAGGCACTACATGTATATGGATAGTGATACCCAAGACCATTATCCACATAAACCATCAACAAAGAATGCAACCAGTGACTCAACGATAACATTAACCACAATATAGACAGTGATACCCATGACCACTATCCACACAAACCATCAAAAGGAACGCAACAGTATGAATGTTCTTTACTCAATAAAAATCGCTACAGTAAAACCATCGACCATAAAGGTCAACAAATTAGTTATTCCAGAAAACTTTCTTAGAATAGTAAATTACAATCAAATGTTCCAACCGCTGGAATATACGGCCGGTATAATCCGTGTGGGATGTCACGGGCTATTTGTTACACATTTGTGTTTACAATAAGGATAAACTCCCAGGTATGGTAGGGAATGGGCCGTGTGGCACATCCCGGCGCTATATTGTTACATTACAAAATTACTAGCCCATGAAACTTTAGACGTATATGTACAAGCGAAAATGTCCCATCCCATTGAAGTCAGCTAATTCCATATCCAAACAAGATTGGGTGTTCGACTTCTTATTTGGCACGAAAAAAACGCAACCTCTTTCCCAACCGAACCAGTTGCAACACATTACCAAGGAAGGATTGTAGGGGAGGAGGAGAGAATTTTTTTTTCAAACTAAACTTTCACGTTTGTCTTTTGAAGCCGCGACATAAAATGACACACACACATATATCAATACGCATTCGTGCCTACGGATTGGCCTAGCATTTTGGCGGCAACCCACTAACGATGATTGGCTGCCTACAATCCCAACACTAATGGTTGCCTAGAATCCCGACTGCTGCTATAAAATGCGAGCTATTCATGTTACGCCCGCAATCGTGAGATATAAGACGGCTAGCATGGAAATTTGCACACGGCACCAAACCAATGTTTTCCGTTGAGTAGAATGGATTTTATCATACGTGATACAATTTCTTATAGCCATTCATAAAATGTTTCTTGATTTTGTGAACAATTGTGATTTTGTTGATTATTTGTGGTACATGTAGATTCAGTTTATTTGATGTTTTAACAGCAGGATATCAATTGTCAACACTTACCCGAAGAGAGCGGATCGGAATCTGTTCCCTTTTCATTTGCTTTATTAGAAAAACATGACAATTATTTTCTCTTTTGTTATCAAGCAATCGGTCCATAACGGAGCTGCCTGCAGATTGTCAAGAGATCTTGGATGCTGGTCAGAGCGCTAGCGGTGTGTATACCATCCAGTACGCATGCCAGATTATGCAAGTCTACTGCCGCATGGAGCCGGAGTCGGGGAAAGGATACATAGTGAGTTATTTTTTTTTTTTTTCAAAACCATGCTGTATTTCGCAAGTCAAATGTGGTGGATGGATTGTGGATTTTGCTCCCAGCGGAATTTGAATTTAGAAATATTTTTTAGGTAAACAAATCCAGTACCACTCGCTATGGAAAAGCAGTATGACCACTGTAAAACAATGTTAGTCCGTGCACACGGGTGCCGTTAAGTATTGAATCAGTAATTGTAATTAAGTGTAACAAAATCAACCATGAATTGGGAAATCGCACCATACAAACTGTATGTTTCACTTGTCCCTGCCATCTACAAAGTCCAATTTGTTGTACAAAACTGTGATTCTATCGAAATTAGTTATATTGGCTCCCAAGCTCCATATTTTCTGTAGTGGAATTAAACAATTTCATTTAAAAAAAATGTGTTTTAAAGGCTTGTTAATTATGTCCTCAGTTTATGTCTATGTTACTTTTTTTAACTGGTGTTCTAGATCAAATGTACCTCGTCGTATGAACATGTTTTGAACCGCGCTTGGCAAAGCGTCCGATTACATTTAATCCCACAAACCTATAAGATATTTCTGGGTAAGTGGATCCAGTATTAATTCTCATTATTACCGTCACTCATATCTTTTCTGACAGGTGTTTCAGAGACGCCAGGACGGCTCGGTGAGCTTCAACCGAACCTGGCAGGAGTACGCCGAGGGATTCGGGGATCTGGCTGGAGAGTTCTGGCTGGGCAACCAGAAGGTGCACATTTTGACTGGTAACACGTGGTGGGAGCTGGTCATCACTCTGAGGGCGTTCGATGGGGATGAGGCCCGTATTCGTTATGGGTACTTCAAGATAACCCGATCTGAGTACAATTACCGGCTTCGTGTCCAAACCTTCATTGCGGAGAATGGAGATGCAGGTACTTAATACCCGGAACTTTCAGTATCCTTCCCTTTAGGACCTCTCTCATGAGTCTTGCACTGTTTTCTACGATATCAATTTAGGTTTAACTGCGTTGTTCTCATCTAATTATCCTAAAATTAATAAACCGATAAAACCTGATTTCTGATCGTTTGAATATGCAGGCAATAATCTGGATCTACTCCTATTCCAAAAGAACGCCCTATTCCGCCGCTTGCCTATTAATCCAACCCACGAATTAACCTTCATGTGGATCTATGTCCAAAATCAGAAGCGTAACAAACATTTATCCACGGAGGTTTTAATGGGAACAACTCGTAAAAAAGGTTGAATGCACTGTTGAAACTGTTGAAAAGTTTGTTCGATATCCATGTAACATTTTATTAGTAATTATATCATGAACAGATCAATGTGACGATGTCTAAAACAGAAAAGTAGAGACCATGCATAAAAAAAAAACAATAGACAGAAAGAAATCGATTCAGATGTCATACATTATTTTTATTAAAGTGGTCCCTTCGTAAAAAATGTCCATGCATCATGCGTCATATTATATAGGTTTTTTCGGCCAATTTCACCAAGTTTTCGTTCAATTTAACGCCTGGCTCATTCGATTTAGATTGAAATTGAAAGATCATGCAGATCGGCATTCGACAATCAAAAAGAATCATTCAATTTTACTATCGGAGCATTCTATCGCCGTTTAGATTCACTCGTCCCTATCAAAGATGCATTCATATTAAAAGTAACGCGTTGTTCATTCAATTTCGTCTAAACCATTAGTAAGGGGTTGATCGAGCATTCGTTTTCATTAATGGACAAACATGTTCCACATTTTGTCAAACATCTTTTAAGATTTCATACGTATGTATTCCTTAGCGTAAATCATATGTAATGACTTCAAACCGTAAATTGACTTTCTTTCTTAAAAGGTATGTGCAATGAATCTTTCTCAGGAATTCTTTTTGCGCAACTATGTGAATGGTAAGAAAACTATACATTTGACAACATTTTTTGGGTTAATCTTATTGCAAATGTGCACTTCTTTAAGCATTTAAAAGTTTCCATGTTTTTCCGGACTAACGCTGTTACTGTGATGTCATTTCAGGAAGACACTGTTCAGTTTAGGGTTTTTTCTTTCAAATTATTCATCCAAAATTTGCTAATTGAAAACATTTGTGGGAAAGGGATGGTAATAGGATGGCTTGTACTGACACATCATACATTGTATAATCACCACATAAAAGAAATTTATGACAGCAAAATATCCAAAATTCTAGCAACGTTTTTTCGCTGAAAAAGCCGTGTAACATTAATCATGCTCGAAATGCTATCACAGGTTTTCTAATGAATATGAAACTTTGCATTAGCATAAAAACGGAGAAGGCACCAAAACACCCCTCCAAATGGAAAATAAACTTGCTAATACGGTTAAATGTGACACAAAGATGTATTTTCAAGGTTTGCATTGAAAAGTGTTCGGTCATACATACGCAAGAAAACATTAAAAAAAATAATGCAAGAGAAGTGTTTCCGACGGTACAACCATTTCCAAACATATTACGTGTCCCGATGTCTTGCACGTCAATAAATTGTAAACGTAAAAAAAAGCCCCTTGATAAAACGTTTAAATAAGTAGAAAAGATCAATAGTGAAAAAGAAATTATCTTAGTCCCTTTCAATTCATTATTTCGTCACATTGTAAATGTTACAGTCATCAAGATTTTTTTTTGGGGGGGGGGGGAGAAATGAACCTCGGAGAAAAATAGGAAAAAAATATCGATTAAAAAATCTTACTTATTTAAATGAACAAACGATGAAAGCGATTGCCCATAAACGAATAAGAAACGAAAAGCATGGTTATACGTTATAAGCGCACAGATGTTCGCTAATTTGAATGCGTCAACCGTCAAAAGGTTGCAAAGACTTAATTTTAGACTGCTACAATTGAAGTCTTGAATGCACCAAAACGAAATAGGCTGCCCGAAAACGGAAAAGAACATTCACAGCAAAATCTTGGCTGCCTAAAAATGAAATTGAATGAACCCCAAATGAAAAAAAAAACCACATTGGACCACTCGTGCAAAACTCACGCGAGATTGAATGGCTGATAATGAAAATGATTAGAACAATTCGGAAATTCGCCGGGAAAACCTTTATTACTGTAGTTATATACAAGGTATGACCATCCTTCCTCTCTTATGCTCACAGGTGATTCACTCTGGATTTATCATCAAGAAGACTTCTCAACTCCAGATAAAGACCATGACAACACCGACGGGGAAAACTGCGCTGAGAAATTCCAGGGAGGCTGGTGGTACTACCGCTGCGGTAGCGACATCAGCGACTACTTCACTAGCAACCTGAACGGATTGTACTACAACAACGCAACAGTCGATGATTACATGGGGATACAGTGGGTCACCTGGAAGGGTAAAAATATCTCTCTAAAAGGGTGTGAAATGATTATACGACGCGGACCGTAACCGGTGATCGAAAGGATTCATTTTGAAAGACAACAATGAAACTAGGGGTGGGAGAGGGGGCGCCAGATCTCATTTTGGATTATTTGGGCCAAAAAAAAAAAAGACGCCATAGTCTAAAAACATACTGTGGTTTTTCGTTTAGGAAAATAGTTGATAGGAGTGGGCTGGGAGGAGGCGGTATAAAAAAACACACACGATGGCGACGTATAAGAAATATTACCAGTGACGGCAAAAGGATGCTCATTGTTTCACTTGGGTTTTTAAATGAAATAAAATTAACAATGAATTGTTCATGATATTTTTCATCCCTCCCCCCCCCAAAAAAAAAAACCCTTCTATATTTGCCTTTTTTTCTCTCGAAATACAACAAATCCACTTTAAATGGGATAGCGATAAAAATACAAATCGTCCAAGGGACATTTAAATTTCGACTTTTTTTGAACTGTTTTAACCCACCCACCCACCCCGATTTTCGATTGTACAATTTTGATTTTCCATTCAATAAAAAAAAAACATAACAAATGTCCAGTTCAGTGAAGGCGGAAATTCAGCTGCGGTCCGTATACACGGCACCTGACCAACAACAAGGCCCACTGGCATTCCCGTACCTTGGAAATCCGCCTGGAAACACGTTGAACTTGTCCATTCTAAGCGGTGACAAAAAGTATCAACTGGCTTTAAATAAAAATGCCTATATTGTCTTGGCGTAAAGAGGTGTAATGACTCCCATTATTCATGAATTTTATTCAGAAATTTAAGGCGTGTTGGATAGAGAAAAAAATAAACTCTTAACTCGCGCTTTCCGACCAATACAGTGCACGCAGGTACCCTATGTAGTCTTGAACACAAGTCGGTTCATTTCATTGTCGCAATCGGTAACCGACGCTGGTGGCGTGTATTAAGACAAATGAACCTGGTATCCCGCTCCATTCGCACGGCGTACTGATTTTACGCATGCTTTCAAGCCTATACTTCACTGGTCCCCATGCATGTGTTGCTCCGATGGACGTATACACAATGTACCGTATATTATACATGTGCGGTACTACCTGATGCATACTGTTCCTGGCCGTATGGTACGGGCAAAAACGTTAAAAGAATTACGAATCTTAACGCAGGGAGTTGAATTGACAAGTCAAAAGAGCTTTTATTTTCTATTTACTATCATTTTAGTTGAAAAAAAAGTTAATTTCCATTTTCAATAATTTCAATAAATTAGTTTGACCCACCAATCCACATTTTCGAAGAAAAAATATGAAATTTAAAAACATCGAAAATTTTGAATGGCCCCTAATGTCTTTAAAAAAAATCAAACGATTTGCCGCCCGACAATACTTCCGTACTCCAAGGGTAGACTGGATCCCACCCCTCTTTTAGAAACGATAATGTCAGGCTTTAATTTGGACCAGGTACAAATTTACTTGCAACTAGAACCCTTTTGCCGTAAAATTCAAACATGCAAAAGTGACAACGAAATTCATTTGTTGGAGATCAAGGAGAGTTAGTTTCATCTGAATGGAAACAAACATTCTCACATCCAGCTTTTCTCAATCTAGCCCAACTATGATCTAGAAATAAGTGAACGCAGGTTAAGTCAGGTAACAGCCGAGGTTAACCATTAACCACGGGTTAACCAATGAACTATTGTTTCCAAATTCTCTCTAACTAAACTATCAAATTTCAATATTCCAAGGAGGACTTCGATCGTAACACGGTCACGGGGTGTAATGACATCGGCCGTTAGACCCTGGGATATCACGAGAAATGCAAGACCATCCTCTACAGTCCTGGGTCATTGCCATTGGATATGTAAAGACTGGCAATCATATAACATTCGTATTGTTTTTACAGGCATAGCGGCTGGAGTATTTTGTGTAACCGATTAATTAACACAATTTTCATCAACACGCATTCAGATTAGTGCAGATTATTTTCTCGTTTTTGTCAATACTGGGGTTTTGTTTTTGGATACATAGTGAGTTAAATTTGGTTTTTGGTTTTGCCATTGATGTTCGTTTTAGTCGTTCTACAGTGATATGGATTAGTGGGGTATAAAGGTATTGCTATCTTTCTTTCATTATAAGTTGTTCTGAATGATATTCTTGTTCCATAATTATTGTCTTGGATTGAATAATTCATTTGCATCATTAATCTGTTATTTGTGCGTGTAATAATAATAATAATATCGGAGTCTTATATAGCGCACGTATCTACCAACAATTAGGTACTCAAGGCGCTGGAGATATGTCTATTATTAAAGAAAGGTAAATAAAGTTTATGAGAAATATGAGACCCATTTTGTAGCACCTTATAAGGGTTTACAAGGTGCTGCGGCGCATATTGCAGCCACTGCCAGAAACACCGGGGCAAACCCCTTCTCTTAGCGATAAGTGCTACTGGGTTCTTTAACGTGCATTACACAACACACGGGACCTACGGCTTTACGTCCCATCCGAAGGACGAAGCAGTAATGGTAAAGTGCCTTGCTCAAGAGCACAAGCACCATGTTCCCACGGTCAGGATTCGAACCCATGTACCACGGCAC